AATACTGATTTTTAAACTGAAAAATTATTTCAGTCGGTCCAGGGTACTTGTACTTGTATCTTTGGACTATCTCGTTCACTGATCTAATAACTTTTAACAAAAATTGCTGATCTGATTTAATAAAAACTATGATCCATTGACAATAAATAACAATTGGCGATAATATTGTGGTCTAAGTATCGTTTCAGAGTGACAATAATTTTCATTTTTCATTTTTACATAATGCGTTTTATGTAAATGTATGCATAAAACTAATTATTATTATAGTCGAGGTTTCGTTTCAGTATAAATAATGGCTTTGTGGATTTGATTAGTATGTTTGTAATATTTTGGGAAGCAATACAATCAATAAATATAGCCAGATTTTTTTTTTATTATAAAAAATGTCACTAAAACAAACGTGATAATCAAATATTTGATTGGAACATGCCGTTTATAACTACCTAGGTATATATTTGTATGAAATTCACAATTTAACAGTAAACTCCCATGATATCATGATTCATGTAGAAGTCACAAAAATTGTGTATAAGGTGCGTTTAACTATTATCACAGCAGTATTATTATCGATTAAGATCTTGTGAATGATTAAAAAAGACACAAAATACAAATTAAAAAAAACAATATAGACTATTGTATACTATGCAAAATAAATATAACACAATTAAGAACTAATTATTTATTTTGATAATATAAATTGTATTATCTAAATATTTTAATCACGAAGAAATGTTTGATATTTAAAAATATAATTTAAATTCTAAAAGTTTTAAAAAAACGTGTAACATTTTCAAATTATTCAAAATCAATTTTATTTTAGAAGGACTATTTATTTTATTAACTGCAATAGTTACACTAGTATGAGTCCGGTCGTGGTTGTTTCCCATTTCCCAGTAAAGACTGAGTATATAATAGATAGTGACACCGATAATGGATAGATAGCTATTCAAAACTGATAGGTATGTGTTATATTAGACCGTTATGATAATACAAATATGTATGTGAGCGTTAAAAAAAAATTGTTTAAAAATAACTTAAAGTTTTTTTATATTTTAAGATTTTTTTATTAATTTTTAATACAAATTTGTAATTGAGGTACACTTAAAAAAATTCAAATTTTTGTAGTTTAACCCCTAATTTTTTGTCATCGGTTGAATCAGTATTAAATGTTTTTAATTAAAAATGTTTTACATAATGTAACTATATGTTACTATACAAATATATATCGATAGGGAGAAATAGAGAAAAATTTGTTTGGCGGTATGGTCTTTATGGCCAGAAACCCCAAAGAAAGAAGAAAGATATAGGTTTAGACGTTTAATAGGTAATGAATTGCATAAGCTTGGACATTTTTTATTATAGAAAGCAAACCATTTATTGGTTATAAGTTATAACGGTTTTAAGAATTTGTCCTTCTTTCCAGTTTCAATAGGATAACAACCATTTAAGGAAAGATTGTGAAAGTAGAATACACCCGTATGTCATACTAGCATTCGTTTAACATAAAGGCAAATAGCACAAATAGATAAAAATGTTTAATTCTAATAATAATATACACTTTACAGTTAACGCTATATATGTAGGTACCGCGCAGTCGATACACCTGTGACGGTCGACACACACCACGTCCTTGGCCAACAGGCACGATGGCTCACCTAATTTAAATACGGGTAATTAATAAACCAATGCAATAAAAAAAACAGAGTACAAATTATGTTTTTTTGATTTGACAGGTGTCGCTGTTAACTTGTTGTGGTTGATCGTCAACGCTTTTGTCCGGCAACGAATTACCTATACAGTATTTTGCATTATTATTTGTTGTTGAAGCCACTCGTTTTTTTAAGTGCTACTTTTTTCGAAAAACACCTGCCAAAACACTATGTGCAAGCCTGCTACAAAGAAGCATATGGTTTAAAAATCACTTTAAGCACATAATAATGAAATATTGTGTAAAAAGCGAGGTCATTAAAACATGTAAACAACTATAGAATATAGATTATAGTCTCTTTATACAGCGAGTATATAGATCAGGAATCGTACCTAGAAGGTACTTTAAAAAGGCACAAAGTTGAAAAGATTCACGTATTTAAAACAAAAACAACGTCCGAATAATAGGTACTTGTACATATTTTTCGGGTTAAAATTACAGAACGCTAAACAATTTTAAAATAAAGTCGAATTAGTTCCCAATTTCATTGGGACATTGTTTAGTATGTGCCTACTTCGGATGAACAATAAAAAATTAAGAACATATCAAAAAATATTACCCCTAGGAAGGGGTGGAAACTTTTTTCCCGAATTTCAGGCGTAAAATGTATCTAAATGACCGAGTCTCGATTCAAAGTTTATTAGAACTTGAAAGACAATATATCAATAGTCGAAAGCTTCGCCTTATCTCTGCAACCATTCTTTATTTTTCCTACTAATCTTTTCAGTGTCTCATAACTCGACATTTCTTTCTCTTTTGTCATTTGTTTTTTTCTTTATTAAATTTATAATAAATGTAATTTTCCGCTTGATGTGTCCATTAAACTTCATATTTCGATAATTTTAATAATTTGTGTTGGCTCTTGTACCATGTTAAGACTTCCTTTCTGTCCGTAATCTTTATTATTTAGCGCCACGTCTCCATAGCTTCTATTCTCTTTCCATCTTGATTTTAGGGAACTAAAATTTCTACTGGTAGCAAAAAAAAAGATTTGTCATGTAGACTGTTAACTCTTTTCATTTCTTTGAGATGTTTGTTCACTATCGAAATTTTTGTCTTTTTGGTATTATTCTTGTCTGCCACTACAGCTATATATATATATATATATATATATATATATATCATCTGTGAATCTTATGCTGTGTAGGTATTTGTTTCCCATTTATTTTCACTTTTTTTTTTAGTAAATTCAACATTTATGCACATTTTATACATATTTAATAAAACTATTAAACAAGGAGCAACTTTGTCTTAGTGTTTTTTTGACCAAAGCCCTCCTTTTATATATTTTATTTCAATTTGTGCGTTTTGTTGTTAGTATAGTTGGAAAACATTACGCCTGTGGGTCTGTCCTTCCAATCTTTGGCAATCTCACATTATTTTAAATAAGTCTATCCGATCAACGTTATCGAACGTTTTTTCGGTGTCCACAAACACCACAAAAGTGCTTCTGTTTAGATCTAATCTACTATCTAGGGATACTTTTAATACAAGAAATACTTCTGTTTTTCTTTTTCCAATTCGTCCTCAATATATTTTTCCATTTTAGTCTTTACTATTCATTCTGTTTTGTATTGTTAAGGGGACTGCATGCGGTTTGTTTTTAAGGAGTTTTGTATAGGCAATATTTAAGAATAAGTGGTTTTTTTTTTTTTTCTGATCGTTTTTTTTTTATTTATTTATTAAGAGTATTTACAATCTATGCTGCAAGGCATAATAAGCAAATAGTTACATTGTTATATATACAGAGAGAGGGAAAAAAAAATAAACAAATAGAAACGGTGATTTGATATGAGGAGGGAGGCTATCCAGTAATAGAACCCAACGTGATTTTTGTTCTAATTATTTTTAATTAGATTAATTTGAATTATTGTATTAACAGATCTCGACACCAATGTCTTCGGAGTCGGCGAGGTGGATTTCCGGGGAGTGAATTAGAAGCAAGTTGAGATATTAAAGGGTTAGAATGAGTGTGTAATTTGGAATGAAATTTTTTGTAGTGTTTTATGGCTAAATGGTTTATTGGTTCTATTTTAAAGTCATTTTGAAGTGTGCAGTTTGATACATACCATGGGGCAGAAGAGATAATACGTAGAGTGATAGATTGGAAAGCTTGTAAGGTACGAAGTTGGGATGGTTTTGCACATCCCCAAAATAAGTGGTTTTAATAAATTTTGACCGTGTCAATTTATTTACAGATTAATTTGTGAAATCTTCAAGGTATTATTTTGAACTTATACAATTTTTCAATAAGTGAAAGCCTTTTTAGTGGTATTTTAGACTTAAAACGCTGACAGTTACAAAAAAAAAACTACCTAAGTAGTCGAAAATTTGTCAGACTTGTTAGTATAAAGCATAAAAAAAAAAAAAAAAACCGTTTAATATCAGTATTACTAGAAGATATAAATGTTTTTACTATAACATTTTTTTTTAAAGATTTAAGTGCGACTTTATTTATTTTATAGAAAAAACCCATTTCTCGAAGTAGCCGTACAAGATAATATAGGTATTACAACATATTGTTATAATATAGGTATACAGGTGTGCCTTGACTAGGTAGAGGAATTGAGATGTTTACATTTTATTTTCTAAATAATAAAATTATACCTTTTTGTTCTGTAATAGTAAAAAAAAAGCGATATAGCCATTTAAAATGTAGATTTTTATAAAAATGTTGGGTGGTTGGTAACAAATAAAACTGGAGTATTAATATTATTACTAATATTTAAAAATTAATTAAACAGACTTGGAAATTGAAATGGTTTGATCATTACACTTACATAAGAAAACATTATTTTGAAAAAATACATGAATCTGTTGACATTGGATAAGAATAAAGAAAACATAATTTCCTGGAAATTCATGTTTCGTTTATAGTGGTTAAATGCATGATTTTATAAGTCCAAAATAGTTTTTTTTCTTCCACATTATTATTATTAGTATACAAGTTGTAAAGAGTAAAAGAAAAATACTACAGCATTTGTTAGTTATTACTACCTGATAAGATAAAAAAGATTATAACAATAATTTCAAAAATAATTTATACTTCAACAACCAAGTGAATACAAAATTACAATATTCTTTACCCATAAGTCATAAAGTCTAAAACTTCTATTTTGGACTTGATGTGATCTGCAAGAACGGGGTCAATATATTGTAATATATTTCATCTTTAATGTCAAATGATGTTAATTGCATCCCCAGCGTAATTCTATTTAACCATTGTGATAATTATTGCAAAATAGATCCTTACCTACTAGTTAATACTCATGTTTAAATTAACACATTAAAATAAAATAAAATAAGAACAATTGTTGTTTATTTAGTGTCAATAATTAAAAACAATTATTTTTTTTTGAATTTCTTCTTGGTCTTTTTTCTTTTAGGTTCCATTGCTTCTTCTAACTCATTAGTTGGTTGATCTGCTATTCTTTTTTCTCCACTAAAAATATATTTTATATAAGAATACAGTTAAATATAATTCAGTACTTTTTAATTACCTTTTAACACTAATGAGACTTTTAGCTTTACCAGTTTTTCCTAATGCTCTGCCCCATTCATCTTCAGTACCCTTTATTGCGTATCTATTTAGATTTTCTTGTTTTAATTTTTCTAATTCAATGCGTTGCTTCTTTTTCAAAACCTATAACATTATTAATAAACATCAATTAATTATAGCTTATTTATAGTATTCTTTAACTATACCTTAGCAGCTTGCTCTAATTCTTCATCCAAAGGCTTTGCCAATGGTCTTAGCTCATTGTCAGCTATTGGCTGTATTGTAGGCATTTCATTATCGACATTTTGTTCCATAATAGTATTTATTGTTTGTAACATTCGGCGCATCATACGATTGTATAATCCCAATAACTGTGAAGGTACTAAGTCAAATTGAGTAGCAAGTTCTTCTACATTTTTATACTGTAGGCCTAACCCTAATAGTAATGCCTGTAAAAACATACAATTCCATATTATTTGAATAAAATACTTGACAATTTGTTTGCAGTTTTACTTTTTGCACAGCTGAGAAATGTGTATCTCCAAACTTGTTTTGAAAATATAGTTTAGACAATGTTGGTAAAAGGTCCATTATTAGGTGGTAATCCGCCATATTGTTACAATATTTTTCTAATCGAAGAACGTCATATACACTCAAATGAATATCCAGCTCCATTTTACTCAACATATCTAATATTAAAATTTTTAATTTAAATCTATCCCTTGTAAACTATTATTCAGGTATTTATAACATAAAAATAAAAATAATGTTAAAATTATGTAATTTCCTAAAACTGATTTTAAAAATGTATACAGTATATTTAATAATATTTTTCACACATTCCCTTTTTCTGTCAATTCTGACGAAGACCTTGAACCGATTTATCAAAAGACCTTACAAATGTCATGATTTTGCCCTGTGCACTTTAAGTCACGCTACATCCCATACATGAAAACAATGTTTAGGTAACGCTTACATTTTCATATATGATAACATTTTACACATATTCTTGTAAAAAAAAACGTGTAGTAATATGGGACTTATTATTGACCATTAAACAGTCATTTTGGGACTGTATACATAGTTGATAAATGTTAGAGACGACTAACATAACGCAAACAAAAATTGTGTACATTTCCAGTTTGATATAATTTTATGTAATATTTATTTCATTTGGTGACAAATGGCACTTACTTCTTTCTGATGGTAATTCTATATTTGTATTGTGCAAAACCCCAAGAGCTAGTTGAGGAGAAAATTTTCGAAACTGGTAACCTAGCAAAGATATAAAACGTCGGCGAAAATCTGTCCAAAACTGAGGAAGCCAATTTGGATTTTTTGATGAATCCGGAGAATTCAATGATGAAATCATAATACATGAATGTTCACCAGTTAATTCATTATTAGTTTGTCTGAAATTAACGATACAATTCTTTAATGATGTTTAACAAATTTAATAGATTAGATAAAATAATTAATACCTTATATACAGAGGAATGAAACCAGATTTTTTCCAAAATTTTAACAATGGACCTGTTAGACCAAATGAAACTCCAATGTAATCAAGGCGCTCTGGAGGTCTTTCACTTAATTTTAGTAATAATGGAGGCAAGTTATTGCGTGGTTCTGTATATTGAAATACATAAATAAAAAATATGGTATATCTTAAATAAATAAAAACAAATTACCTATTCTTTCTTCAAGTATATTTATTTCTTCATCTTGAATAGATTCAATATTTTCTTTAGGTAAATTTCCTTCCTCAACATTGGGAATTAAAAATTCATAATACATTTTTAACAACGACAAAGCTCTAGAGCCATAACCCATCTGTAATATCAAAGACAATGTTAGTTTGCATATTAAATAAATTGTACTAAGGATTAGGTAGAAAGGCTAAGTCCAAGTAAACAACCTTTATTGTAATACCTGTAATGATAAAACTACCTGATAACATAATGTAATAATATTATATTATGTATGCTGATAAAAGCATATCGCACCCCTGCTTAAAAAGTAACACAACTGGAAAAATTTAATTTTCTAATAGTCATTTAAAAAAGTACAAAATTTTTTGTAACTTCATGAATTGATCAATTTATTTGGTTTTTTCACTATACTCTCTATGTATGCTCCTCTTCCCTAGAAACTGTCGACATTCTCTATTTTTAATAATAGTATTGTCAGTAAAATATTGTAATACCAAAAGTGACTAAAAAAATGATATTTATTTTAAATATGCTATAATAACGTCGAAAGTCATGTTTTTTCAGTTGTGTCACTTTTTAAGCAATGGTGCGATATAGAAGTTATATATAATAATAACACACTAATTTTTTTTTGTTAAAAAGTAAGGAATGAGTAACACTGGTGTAAAGTAGTTTTAAATGTGAATGCAAACGAGGAAGTCACAAAAAATCAAGGACTAGAATATAATAAAAACTAAGGTATGTTATAAATGAAGTAGCAATTAGCATAGATCATTTTCTACATGTCCAACAGAAGAAAAAATATGTATTCAATTTGGTAAAAAATACATTTTGCATAAAGCTAATTTGTAGTTACTAATTCAAGAAGTGCTTACAAGATGACGTCTTGACAAGATGACACATGATTTAAATTAGTTGACTTTTAATCCTCTATGAAATGTTACTATCAGGCCCCAACTAAATTATCCTAAGTTTTATGTTTCTAATGAATTTTAAGTATTCTAGCTTAAATAGCTTACACTTTGATAGTCCGGATGAGTGGCTATGCGTACAATACGAGCTCCAGATAAAGAAGGAAACTGTTCGTCTTGAAAACACCCAGATATTGTCCATGGTATAAGATCACCAGCAGCTCTTTTACCACGTTTTAATGCTTCTGTTGCTGATGTTTGAGATACTTCTCCTTCAAGGCATACCTAATGAAAAAAGTTTATTTACAAAAAAAATTGTTGTCTGTAATTTACAGTAACACGTTTTATAGGCAAATTTGTTGACCCAAATAATCTAAGTCACTGTTGAGGTTTCCTATAACAGTTCAGCTACTCTGTCCTAACAGAAAACTTGCAGTTATATTATCAAATATTTTTAACCTGAGGTCACTCGCATGATATTCCCAATCGTAGCTACCCACACGCGGACTTATATTCCGCAATCGTTAAAACTGCATAAAATATTTATAAAACTCATAACCTTTACTTATCGCTAGTATTTCTCCGTTAGAAGTAATCAAAGTATTTAATTGATCAAGTATAATAACTTCAACATGTGATAATAAAAGGTACACATTCCACCTATTATGATACACATAACATGTTTTCTATAAATAACAAAATTATCTTATATGCGGCACTCTGTTTCGCATGCGAGTGATCACGGGTTAAACTACAGCATAAATTAAATAATTGCCTTATACATACTTGAATCACACACAATACTTCAGGTAATGTTTTCATATCTAAAGCAACAGGCCCAAGAAGACAAAATAAATGATGTGCTGGAGCATCTGACATCATTTGAAGATCATTAGGACTGTTCTGTTATAAAACAAAATACATACATATATTCAATCAAATATCAATAAGTCAATTCAATAATTAAGTATGTTTAGTTATTCAGTCATTTACTTTATAATGTGAAGCTACATATAACGAAACAATACGTTGTAAAAAAGCTTCCGATGCTTTATGATAACAAAACAAAGTATCTCTATTGATATAGTATAATTCACATGTGTCAGGTGGAGGGCAACCAGACAGTAATGGAGCAATATTTGTAGCATCCAGGCACAACAGTTGTGTAAGCCATTTTTCAATATCGTCACCTGGTTTATAACGTATAGATTCTTCAAGAGTCACCTAAAAATAAAATATATAGAAAAAACATATTAACACATAAACAAAAAACAATTTTGTCATGTCAAGTGTCACAGTACTGACGTCATTATCATTACGTCATGGAGGAGGTTTATGGAGGGTCATTCTGAAAATAAAGTTAAGAGCACCCACACTTCATGCAGATACATCAAGTTGCAGAAGATATAAGGATATATTTTGTTATTTTTATAGATAGGATATGTTTTTGAAATTGTGTTTTCTATCCCTTCTGTCAGAAAGAGATGTTATAGTTTTGGTTTTTCACTGTGTATTGGTTGTATTAAATCCAGATTATCCTACACAAGTTTCCAAGTAATTCAACAATTTTTCAAAAGTTGTACAATGCTGTAATTTTAAGACATAAAATCTGTACAATTTTAGTTTATTTTTTTTAAAGGGGAGTAGTAAACTTTCCATTTCTGGCTTTATAAAGTATCTTGTGTGCAAGATTTCAGAACTATAGATTTATTACATGAATAAAAATGCTAAAAGAATCCACAAAAAACGGAAAATTTACCAAACTGTGGATGTAGAAAAGAAATTACAAAAATATCCATCTAAAACTGTTGTAATAGGAAATCATAAATTTATGTTATTTATTTTTATTAATGTGAATAATAAGTTTTAATAAGCCTACCTACGTAATATACAAATAGCATAAAAAAAAGAATTGAGAAAGCGTTCAGAATTCTGAAGTATGTTGTATAGTTACAGCAGTAAAGGAGCGAGTGTATACAAGAATTTTAAAGATCATTTAGGAAAATTTTAGAGAACATATAATAAAATGTATTGTTGTTATTATACTACTAACTAACTTCTTTTAAAAATCGTCCAGTTATAGCATTTTGACCAGCTTTATCATTTGTATTGTTCCCAATAGGAGTTGCTTGTGATCGAAGCTGTTGCAATAGTTTCAAAGATAACGATCTACCCGTTCCTTCATATCTACACACATAAAAGAATTATAAATCAATATTACATAATTATTGTTCATAACAATAAAATAATACAAGTTTACCCATTGATTGTTGAAGCTAAAAATACTAAATAAGAACCAAGCATGGCTTTTACTAGTGGAAGTGGTATAGCTGCAGCTTCATCAATTACTACCAATTCTGCTTGACTCAATTTGCTAGAATCTGCTGGAATTATGTACTATGAGTACCACCAAAAAAAGATTACATTAAACAACCATGATAATAGATAAACTATCAAACCAACATACCTGAATTGTTTGACGATGATCTCTAAATATATTTACACGAACCAATGCTTTATTGTCATCAGGATTAGTCGATCTAACTATTCCATAGTCCAAATGTTCTTGATACCCAAGAGCATCGAAACCTAATTACATAAATTATACAAGGACCCATAAATCTTAATAATAGAGAATGCAAAAGACTGGCTTAGCCAGCTCAAAAAGTAGTAGTAAATATTTTACCTTTAAAAACAAACTCAAAAAACGTTTTTAAATTTTCAGGGGAAGGTGATGTGACAAAAATATTAGAGTAACCGAATGCAACTGCGGAAGCAACAGCTATACCGAGAGCGGCAGATTTCCCTCTACCACGTGACGCTGTCAAAGACACAGTAGACCTAAGGGTTTTTTCGGAGATTGCTTCAATAAAAGTCAATAATGCTTTAGCCTAAAAAATATAAATTTATACTTAAAAATAGTTACCTTGTTACTAACTGTTAGGTTTATTAGATTTATGTATTTTTATTTTATAGATTTACTGCATTCTATTTATAATACATTGTTAGTCACAGTATTGGTCAAAACCATTCAAATGTCAAAATTAAAGACAAATCTAAAATTTGTTTATTAATTATTTAATTTTTAACCATCTAATTGGCATGACTAAAGACGAGTTAATTTTAGGGACCAAAAAAGAAATAATTAGCAGATAAAAAAACATGAAAAAAAATTCATAGCAAATATTTTAAATTAAGACATCTACAAATTGTGTCTTGAATGATTGACTAATTAGAGTGATGCACGCCTAAACACAATACTATAAGATTTTGTAGACTTCTTCCAATTAGAATAAATTTTATACCTGATCAACAGTTTTACAGCAATTAACTAAACATCCAACAGGCTGTGTATCTTTCATATTTTCTTTTAGAGCAGTTAATTCTTGATCATTGATTGTTGGCTCAGTTATTTTATCGGTAGGAACTAAATCAAGCACTTTTGATGAAATAGGCAACACTGTTAATTGATCATCTACTACCAAACACCTTTCAGATGATACTAAAGATAACATGAACCTATTTAGGAAATTAAAAATATATTTATAAATACAACTATAAAAAAAAAAGAGCATGTTAACAAAATAAAATAGCTAACCTTTCATTAAATCTAGCAACAACATCTTGATGAGCTTCTGTTCTAAATCTTTCATGAACATCCATGGTAAGTGTGTAAAGCTGTTTTAAAGACTTTAATGATCTTAATAAAAATATTATTAAACCACCACCTTCAACTGTTTCAATGGTACGCGCTAACAGATTTGGTGTCAAAGCTTCAAAATCCTTTATATAATAATTGAATGATTACAGTAGTATAGTATTATGCAAAAATGAATGTTTCAATTTATTATTATCTTACTTGAAGTACACACATTCCATATGTGTTTCCAAGAATTTTATGCGTTTCAGAATAATAACAATAACGAATATTAGTTGAAGCAACAAACAACTCAAACGGGTCATCCTCGTTAACATTTAACTTGCCAGCTTTAACTTTATGTTGAATAGTCTTCATACGTTTCTTACGATGACTAAATATAATAGATTATACATAGAACATATCATTATAAGATAGAAGCTAAATTTGTACTATTAATACATTACCTGCTAAATCCCAACTCTTTTTTATAGCACCATAACACATTTGGCCGTGCTTTGACAGCTGCTTTTGTTAGCATATGATGTAATATAACAACCTAAAATAAGTATAACAATTAACCAAAATATGTTATAAAATTAAGTACCTATTGAAAATCTAATGGAACACATTTTTTTATTATCTAGGTTGGTCACATTACAAGTTAACCGTAACAATATGTTGTAATTTCTACAAAATTATTTAGCAGACATAGGGGAAATTAATGTTAACGTGGTCAACTTTTATTGAAAACGTTCAAACATTATATTACTTAGATGGTATATCCATCAATGAGACCTGTTGTAAATTCCACCCTCATGTTGAGTAAAGCGACAAAACCTTTTGAAGATATTTCTTGAGAATCTACTAGATACCTATTCTTTCTATGATGATAAAATATAATGTTAAAACTACCTGGTCTCTGCCTTTGTCTCCGACAATAACAAACATTGTTCGATGGCCAGCCGTCACACCATTTTCGATCAGAGTTCTGATCCGATTGTCGATTTTCTTACGAACCATAATGTAATATTCTAATTTAATTGTCCTGTCAAGAGAAATTCAAAAAAAAAAAGTTCAAGAAAAATATTCTAAAACCTATGTATTAAAAAAACACATGGTTGAAACATCGAATAATGCAACGATCGACCGTTCAAGAAAAGGCGGAATGTTTTTATTTAATATTTACTTGACATCGGCGGCAAGTACTATCGGAATTTGGGCTCTAAAAACACGTGACAATACGATAAAAAATCAATGGAATAAACGAATAAAAATCATGGAATAAAAAAAACATGTATAAATTCCCAAAACCACTCTCTATTTTCGACCGACTACTTTAATATTATGCGCAACTTCTAAGTAAGTCCTTAGGGTTTGAATACGCTTAGGAATTTTCAAAACCGTTTGTCTGATGTTTGTCATGATTTTAGCCGTCCAAAACATGTAAGGATCAACCCCTTGACCTTCGATCGCTTACAAATCCGGCTGATTCCAAATGATAATGCTTATCAGTCAACACTCGATATCAATATCAACATTTAATAAATATGAACAATTTTATAGCAATATGTATTCGTAGGTACCTACTAGTAGGTATTATAGTAATATAAGCAAAGGGTATAAATAAAAGAATGTGTTGCCATTTTTGTGGCTTGAACTGACTACTTTGACCATTTGCATTTATATGTTTGATTTATTTTTTTCTTAACTTACAAATCAACTATGCAAAAAGTGTACAAATATATGCGTGTAGACCCTTGTTTTTTTCCACTTTACCAAATAGAGTCGGACAGCCAAGTCCTAAATACACTTCAATTTATTTATTCACTCCACAGTACACATCTGTCTATATTTATCATTAACATCCACTTCTTTTTAAGTAATCTCACAAAATTGTATGATCTGTAATAATATATAGTCTATTCTATTAAGAATATACTAGCACACCAAAAAAACTCCTACAGTAATATGTCATACAACATATTATCATCTAAAATTGTAATTTCTCTAAATTAAAATTATTTGGCAAACCACACATTTATAAAAAATAAAATACAATTTTTAACTATTGAATATTTGATTAAGGCTTAATGTGATAAATGCATTTAACCAAGTTAAAATTTCTTAAAATTAAATCTTGGGTTTAATACATGCATACTGTAACTTATATTTATTTGTAGTACCTATAAAAATATAACTATTATCAAATAATCAGATATCTATAATCAAGCAAAATTTTACTTGTTGGTAACCTAATACCCCAATGTAATATGTATGTTCATTAATATTATAAATATATTTTTTAATATTACTTTTTTATTTGATTGATACAAATTTCACTAGGTATTCATCTTATGTAACTATAAGTTATAGTATAGTATCTAGCAATCATAAACATTTATTTATAAAACCTGTACTTATTTTAAATCATTCATACTTTAATTTTCTTAACAATATCAAAGTTTTTAATTTATCAATATAACTATATTATTCTTTAAGATAAAAACAAAATAATTACTATTATAGTTTACAGCTGTATTCATTTAAGTAGATATATTTATATAAACTTAAGTAAAAAAAAGAAATTGTAAAAAATATGAAAAACTACAAGCTAATAAAAATTAGGTCAATAAATCATAATTCCATTAATAAATATTAAAACAAATTATAGTAATTAATGAGATGATAAAAAACTGTAAAATATTGTTAAAATATGATAAAAATAAATCAACACATAAATTATGAATTAAAAAGTTATAAAAAAAATCACTTAATGTTCAATAGTTTACAAAGCTGAGTCGTAGCATATAGGTCAGATTCAAAACATTTTTGACATTTAGAACCAATATTCCACGTTGGCCTCGTCGATGGTAGTGCCATCATTTTTTTATCGACCTTTCGTGTTTTGTACTTTCTGTTTAATGTATCCAACATGAATTTAAGATCTATTGCCACAACTGTAATGTTCTGTATTATCTGCAACACAATATAAGATTGACAATTATTATTTTATACTTGTTTAAAACGATATTTAGTGTATACATAATGTATTTTAATATACAGATCTAGCAGTATGACTTTTTTCCAAAATAAATAAACCACTTAATTTGAATAGAAGTTTATTCCAAAAATTAATTAAATTATGTCATTTTGTTGTAACATAAAAAAAATAAAGAAATTTGATTTAAGAGCTAAAAATAATCTTCTATTGCAACACTCCTATTTTCCAGGGCGCCTCATTTCACTGCATAGGGACATTAAGAGGCCACCGTGATTGCCAGATCCTGTCACCATGCAATTATATTTCTTCTTTAGTCAAATTCTTTATGTTATAACAAAATAGAATTATTAATTGACCTTTGGAAAACAAATTTCATTTAATTTCAAACTAAGTGGTTTATTGGTTTTTAACAAACATATACCTCACTGCCGAATCCTATATTTATTTTCTAAAATCTAGAATGAATTTATTTACTCGTTTTTTTTCTGGATCTTGTAATACAATCCAGAGCCATGTTGAAATTGAGCAGTATAATTTGTTAGCACCAATTTTACCACAGCTTGTCTTCATAATTTTAATTAAATCTTTTACCATATCAGCATTAACTGTTCTCTGATGATATGAAAATAATATACTATTACATCAAGTTACTAATAAGTCAATTTATATCATACATACCCTCCAAATGTACCAAGAAGTCTCATGGTAACGCAATAAATTAATAAGCACTCGGATAGCTGGTTCTCTAGCTTCTACACTAGGTTGTGATTGGTTTGAATATTGTAAAAAATGGAAAATATAATCAACAATTGTACCTTCAGCTGTCTTTTTGCACAACTCTTTAGATAGCGAAGTACACAATTCTAAATTTTATAAAATTACAACAATAAATTATTATTTTGGGGGAAAAAAAATGAGGTAATATTGTGTTTTACCAAGCGTCCAGAAAACCGCAGCTAACTCTTTATATGAATATTCATTCTTTTTTTGTCTTCTCAATACATCTTCTACATCATTATGACGTCGACCTAATGTTAAACCACGTTGTTTGGGAAAGCGAATTGTTTCTCGTCTACAAACGTATCTCTTACGTATCTGGTAACCTCTCCATACAGACTAAAGTAAATATTCAAGACTTAATAAAAAAAAGCTTAATTACACAATTATTAAATCTCTACGAGCAAACTCATAAATCTAAATTAGTAATTACATTTTCCCCTCTTTTAATTGTTTAACTTAATAAAAATAAAAACTGTATTTCTACATAAATAATAACTGTAAAGTTAAAAAAAAAAAAGTGAAATAGAAATTGTAAACATTCCATAACAACCCATTGAAAGGACTATAAAATTAAAAGTAATGGCATGAAACAAAGATTACAGTATGTAGACAACGTAAATTAACAAAGGTAATTCAGACTGAAACAAGAAAAATTAAGAGTTGGAAGAAATCAGAAAAAAAGAAATGTATAATACATAAAAAAGCGCCTGGTATTGTAAATGAAAAAGTAAAAGATTGAGATTGATGGTGGGAAACTTGAGGGCTTTATGTGATAAATGTTAAAGGCAAAACTAACATAACCAGACAAAGACTAACTAAAAGTTCTTAATAATAAATACCTGTATCAATGTAGCTGCATAATTTTGTTTTTGAGTGTTTATATCGGTTATAAGTTGTGGAAGTTTTTTTCTTATCAAAAATCCTCTTACAGCAGCTTGGATTTTTGAAGCAGCAATATTTTTCTTCTGCAAATGCTTATGAATTAACACATTTCTAGTCCATTTTTGCAATTTTACAGCAGCTCGCATTTCCATTTCCATTTTAACAAGAAATGCATGGCCAGCAAGCCACCGTTTACACTAAATTTAATGAAAAAGGAAATTTTTTGGTTTTCTTTAATAGTAGTTTTTTTTGAAAACTTGAAAGTAAGAACTATTATAAGAAATAAATACCATGCCAAGAAGAACGATAAAGCCAAATATTAAATGTAAACCATGCGAGCTACCTTCATAATTCTTAGGGCTACATACAGTGAGTATGTGAAAACTTACCTCATTTAAAGCATTCAAGTAGGCTTCTCTATCCCGCTTCATTGCAATATTAGCTCTAAACTTACGTTGAACCAATAATGTTGCTCTCTTGAAAGTGTTAAATTTATTCATTTGTTTTTGCATCATTTTATTTGATCGATAAAATCTTTGCACAAATATAACAGTTGTTTGCAATTTTAAAAAGTCAAGACGTTCTTGTGTTTGAGGTAATTGTTTTCTTAATACTCTTTTAATTAGATTTGCTGAGTTAATTCGTTTTTCTTTTTCAGTTTGAAGAATAGTTTTTAGCATAGGCCAGTTTTTCCGTAACATAAAACCTCTAAACACTTTTTGAATGAGTAAGGTTGAGGTAACAGTATTCAAATAAGTACATCTATCCCGTCTCATTGCAATATTAGCTCTAAACTTACGTTGAATGAATATTGTGGCTCTCTTCAAAGAATTAAACTCAATCATTTGCTTTTGCATCATCTTATTTGCTCGGTACATTCTCTGAACAAATATAACAGTTGTTTGCAATTTTAAAAAGTCAAGACGTTCTTGTGTTTGAGGTAATTGTTTTCTTAATATGCGTTTTATTATATTTGATGAATGAATTCGTTTTTCTTTTTCAGTTTGAAGAATAGTTTTTAGCATAGGCCAGTTTTTCCGTAACATAAAACCTCTAAACACTTTTTGAATGAATAAGGTTGAGGTAACAGTATTCAAATAAGTACATCTATCCCGTCTCATTGCAATATTAGCTCTAAACTTACGTTGAATGAATATTATGGCTCTCTTCAAAGAATTAAATTCAATCTTTTGTTTTTGCATCATCTTATTTGCTCGGTATAACCTCTGAACAAATATAACAGTTGTTTGCAATTTTATAAAGTCAAGACGTTCTTGTGTTTGAGGTAATTGTTTTCTTAATATGCGTTTTATTATATTTGATGAATGAATTCGTTTTTCTTTTTCAGTTTGAAGAATAGTTTTTAGCATAGGCCAGTTTTTCCGTAACATAAAACCTCTAAACACTTTTTGAATGAATAAGGTTGAGGTAACAGTATTCAAATAAGTACATCTATCCCGTCTCATTGCAATATTAGCTCTAAACTTACGTTGAATGAATATTGTGGCTCTCTTCAAAGAATTAAATTCAATCATTTGCTTTTGCATCATCTTATTTGCTCGGTATAATCTCTGAACAAATATAACAGTTGTTTGCAATTTTATAAAGTCAAGACGTTCTTGTGTTTGAGGTAATTGTTTTCTTAATATGCGTTTTATTATATTTGATGAATGAATTCGTTTTTCTTTTTCAGTTTGAAGAATATTTTTTAGCATAGGCCAGTTTTTCCGTAACATAAAACCTCTAAACACTTTTTGAATGAATAAGGTTGAGGTAACAGTATTCAAATAAGTACATCTATCCCGTCTCATTGCAATATTAGCTCTAAACTTACGTTGAATGAATATTGTGGCTCTCTTCAAAGAATTAAATTCAATCTTTTGTTTTTGCATCATCTTATTTGCTCGGTATAATCTCTGAACAAATATAACAGTTGTTTGCAATTTTAAAAAGTCAAGACGTTCTTGTGTTTGAGGTAATTGTTTTCTTAATATGCGTTTTATTATATTTGATGAATGAATTCGTTTTTCTTTTTCAGTTAAAAGAATAGTTTTTAAGAAAGGCCAATTTTTCCTTAACGCAAAACCTCTAAACACTTTCTGAATGAGTAAAGTTGAGGTAACTATATTTAAATATGTACATCTATCCCGTCTCATTGCAATATTAGCTCTAAACTTACGTTGAATGAATATTGTGGCTCTCTTCAAAGAATTAAATTCAATCTTTTGTTTTTGCATCATCTTATTTGCTCGGTATAACCTCTGAACAAATATAACAGTTGTTTGCAATTTTAAAAAGTCAAGACGTTCTTGTGTTTGAGGTAATTGTTTTCTTAATACTCTTTTAATTAGATTTGCTGAGCTAATTCGTTTTTCTTTTTCAGTTTGAAGAATAGTTTTTAGCATAGGCCAGTTTTTCCGTAACACAAAACCTCTAAACACTTTTTGAATAAGTAAGGTAGAACTTCTAGTTTTTAAATATGCATGCCTATGTTGTCTCATAGCGATATTAGCTCTAAACTTTCTCTGAATGAAAATTGTAGCCAATTTTAAATTAGTGTAGCGTTTCATTTCAATTTTCATCATTTTGTTGGCTATAAACAACTGTTGTATATATATTGTAGTTTGTTTTAATTTTAAGAAATTTAAACGATCTTGAGTAGGAGTTAAGTTTTTCCTTAAAGCACATACAACTATATTTATAGCATTTATTCGATTTGTTTTTTCGGACTCCAAATTTATTTTAATTACACTCCAGTTCTTTCGAACTAAATAACCACGGAACCATTTCTGAATCGTAAGTGAAGAAGTCTTAAGGTTTAAAAACTTTTGTTTTTGAAGTTTCATTGCAGCATTAGCTCTGAATTTTCTTTGTACATATACAATTGTTTTTCTTAAAATAATAAAGCGTTTTCTTTCTTCTGTTAAGAGTTTTAATTTCTTTTGTAAATAATGTTTAATTTTAGTGGAAGCCACATGCAATTTTTCACGGTTCTTCATTAATTCTGTTTTCATTAGAGGCCATTCTTTTCTAAGCAAAAATCCACGAACATGAGCTTGTATTTTGGTGGCAGCAACGTTACGCTTTGCAATTCGTTTAGCTCTTATTCTTTTTAGTACTACTAATTTCAGACTGCTATTTCTCCACCAATTTTGAATTTTTGCTGCAGCATTGTTATACTTTGGAGTGAGATATTTATAAATTATTTGCCAAAAAAGAGAAAGCATTTTTTCTCTATGACCGTTTACAATATCACGAGTATTTATATTACCTTCAATAGTGATGTGGTCAGATATTCTTTCCATGGCTAAATTTACGTTATGAATTTTTTGCAGTTTGGATATGGCTGGTAATCGTAACTTTTGTGACAAAGGGTTACCTTTGAACAATATTTCTACCACTCTAGTGATTCTAGTACCATCTCTTAAATCGTTTAATGATTTTACTGCATAATTGACTTCATCCAAATGAGTTTGTTTGTGGGTTAAGTTATACCCAATACTACGTAGACGTCGTGTAATATCACCATGAGCAGTTACCATATCAGCACAAAATCCCATCAAAAAATCATAGCTGCTCTAAAAATTAAAAATTGTAAATTAAATTTTGTTGACATCATTATGCATTTTATGCCTTGGATGAAAGTGGAGCTTAAGGATTTTACAACTAGAACTTGGAATGTGAGATCGTTCGAACTAGACATTTGACAATAGTAATATTATGGTGATTACGGAAGAAGGTTACCAGGAAATGGTAGTTCAAGGTCTGGTAAACTAGACCTTCTTTTATAGTGGTGGAACCACGCAACAATTGGGAGTTGGATTTATTGTGGGTGACAAGATACTACCGAAAGTAAATGATTTTAGGAAGTAAGTGTTAATAAAATCATAAGCTAAGGAGATAATTGGAGTGTCCAAGCAGAGTTAATATTGTTATCAAGTTAATAGTTGATTAAATTGACATGATCAAATAATAAAAAAAATTATGAATTTGATTAAGAATTTAATGAATGAATTAAGAAAACTTGCAAAACTTATGGGTTAAGTAAAAAATTATGTACAACATTTTAAATGAAAAGTTATGTATAAGTCTAAAATGTTAAAAGGTTTTCCAGTCAAAACCAGTTTGAGACAAAAGGTTATCTCCTGTGCTCTTCAGTATTGGCTTTTTATCTGTAGTGAGGGAAGTGCAAAACGACTATAGGTTTAAAAATTGAAAGAAAAATTATGGTATGGAAGCATATACAGAATAATTAATGGTGAGACCATTGATTTTAGATTGTACAGATAAGCAGTGCAATACACAAAAACGGTTTTAAGAATGGCTATAGATATTGATACATGGAAGGGTATAGTGGAAGCAGTGATGGGCCTACAAAACGTAGAATAAGCCAGGAATTAAAAATTATAACATAATACTTTAATACTCAAGTCAAACTAAATAATAAACTAATAAAACTCACTTTATAAGGAGAATCAACTTTAAAAAGGCATGGGTTATGTCTAATCAGTTGTTGTTCTTTGGCTCGGTCCAAAAAATAAATAAGCATAAGTATTTTTCTTAAAATAAACTTTTTCATAGCAACCTACAATAGAACACAAAAATTAATAATAATCATAAAGCAACCAAAATGTTTACTAATAAATTTGAGAATTTTATCTTACATTAAATGATGGTAAGTTAACTTGAAGTACAGTCGATTTCGTAAACTTCTGTTTGACATAATCGTTATTAAATAAATTTTTGCGGATGAACCATCCAACACCATCTAGGTCAGTAGAGCCAACTCTGACAGGTACAATTTGCCCATATACAGCTTCTAATCCAATTCGAAACCATATAGGATTGTAACATTTTAACATATCTGTAATCTTTTTTTTCAAACCTGCAAATGTAAAGTAATTTTACAAAAAAAAAAAATAATAATAAGGTAATTATGTTATTTAGTTAAAACTTACTCAAATCTAAATGAATTTGACGATCGTCTCTTACAGTAATGAGATCTTTTTCAATAGAAATTGATAATTTTGATAGAACAGTAGCTACACTTTGAGACGTAATAAGATTTGTTGTAGCTTTTCTTAAAGCACTCCATTGCTGTGGTGACTGTCTATATATCTGTGCTACAAAAAGATCTTTCTGTGTGGCAAATTGCATAGGTTTATTTTTATGAGATTCTTTAGACGCTTCTACCCAGGCCATAGCCGCTTGTTCCAAATCACCAGAATGCTCTTCATCGACTAGCTTGTCAGTTGGTGTCAGTAGTGCATTAAGCCAACGAATCATATCTGATTCTTGACGATTCAACCATTCAGATTCATAATACTGAGACCTATAAAATTTGTATTATAATCATAAAACTAAAAAAATAATTTTCTTAAATAATTCTATTATGGTTGATTTTTTTGTAGTATTTAACCATTACGCACAAGGTTTTAAGTCACACTTAAATTACAATTAAATTTGTATGTGCTTATATTTTTGCTTTAAAGAATATATTATATTCTTTCTTAAAAAAAAAAGTACCACCAACAAAGAAAGTGGACAGAGCATAGTTTGTGTGGTTTCATAAGTATTGTGTATATTCACTGATACAGCAATGTGATTATTTATTATTCATTTTTGTTTTAATTATCATAGCTGTCATAATGTCTAATATTATTTTCAAACCTAAACATATCTACACAGAAATTTTACTTCGTCCGTGATAGCCGTATATTGGTAGATTCTGTGAAGGTGAGCATATATACTAATATAATCCGCAGAGATATAATGCGTTGAGAAGAAGTCATACCCCCATTTATTAAGGAATAGGTATAGGCAATTTTTTGAAAAATCTTAATTTAAAGGTTAAACTGTGTAATTATTAGTTCAGTAATCAAAATTTTTTATTTTTTCAGACTATCACAGCATCCTTGACAGCGAATTAAAAAAAAATATTTTTGTCTTAACATAGCTACATATATTCTCTATTATTGACTAAATAATAATAGTAGACTAATTCTTTTTTACATATTTAAAATAATAATAAGAACTTTATCTAGGTTCTATCGTTTACATTTTTATATTATTTACCCAAGATTTATAATTTATGTTTTAATTCTGACATTTTTTTACTTTTTTAAATGCTTTTATTTAGGGTAACCTGGATAAAATTTATCTCTTTTTAATGGTATCAAAATTATTTTTCTATGACCATTTCACTTTGACCTACACGCTTTTACGACTATTTTTAAAGATTATGACTCTCCACGACTCCATTTAAGGAATTAAAAGGTTTTCTAATATTTAGTGAACAAAAAACCTACTTTCTATACATTTTTTCATTTTTATAACTTTGTTACTTAGTACAATTTTAAAAACCTATCAATGTACAACTCACAGAAATATTATACATTATTTACATTTAAAATTAGTAGTTTATACTCTTAATTTTTTAAAAATTAAAACCGACCTGTGTAATCATGTTTTTAACAGAAAACTATAAAATTGTAATGTGTTGTAGCAAAAGGTTACTTAATAAACTTTATATATATGTACATAAGTGTCCCTTGTTTTTATTTTTTTTTAATATTTTCAGTTTCCACCTCCCAATTGTCTCCAAATGACATAACAAAAAAATACTTATAAAACACCAGGCTATATAATATATTGTGCAAGTTGTGCCAATAAAAATATATACATATTATACTATATATATATAATATACATCTACATATTACTTAAAACAATTATGTAATAATAAATTTAATTTTACTTACATTTTTAAAAAAGGGTCATCAGCATTGTTATGATAAACTAAATCAGGATTAGCTATGCATTTCAAATATTGATCACATTTGTCAAGCTTTGGTGCTCTCATACGAGATGATCTAAGTGGACTGATACCTTTAATAATGTGTATTAAAAAAACAATGAGTGTTTCGAATAACAATATTAATATAACAAAAGGGCAGTACATAGACAATCACACCCAAACTCAGTGAGCCGTAACATCATAAATATTAAATACATAATGAGATTTACTTACTATATTGTTTCAATTTAGACTTGGAAATAGCAGATGCTTTAGGACTACATTTATAGTATGGCGAGTTTTTTATTACAAATGATGGCCTTTTAGGTTTAGAACCACTGCATGTAATCACTGTAATAAAAACAAATACAAATTAAATCTACTGTTTTTCTAATTTAAAACATATCACCTAAATAAGTAAGAAGTCAAAAGAACTTAGTTATAAAAAAAAAACTAAAAAAATTTGATTTTCTTAAAATAAAATGTCTAATGCAATTTAAATTTGAACTTAAAATTTTTAAGTTAATTTTCAAACATTATTAATAGCTTTGTTTTGTTATTAAAATTAAAATTATTGAATTGAATACTTTACTTGAACGGTAATGAGAATTGTAGAATGTTGTGCATTGACTACTATTTATTTTATTAGACAATGTTGGTGAAGAATTTAACTCTGTAGACACATCTTCCTTTATATAAGTAGTGCTAGCCTTATTAGATTCTCCATCTTCAGATGTTTTCTCATATATGTTAAGAAGATTAACAGATACTCTATTTGGCTTTTTCTCTTCTGGTGTATATACTTTAGAAACAGTTGATGTCTCTATAGGCTTAAAACCCAATAATGAATTTAAAGAAGTTGAAGCTGATGCGCCATCTGGAATATCAAAACTCAATTGTTGTTCCTCGAAACTATGAGATTTTCTTGTAGTGCTAAAAGGAGACAGCAAATTTTCACTGTTTTTCAATGGAGTTAAACAAAAATCATTAAATGGAGAATGAGTAGGTATTAATTTGATTGGTTTTTCTAAAGAATCATCACTCATAGGGCTGGAACTTTTGTTGTGTAAGTTAAAATGGCTATTAAAATAATGGTCTTGGCGTTGTTGGTCTGGTCGTTTCATACTGCGTTCTGGACTGATTAAGAGAGTATCACGGCATATGTTTCTTTTAGTAACTGGATAATTTTCTTTTTCTCCGACTAAGTAAGTTTGTCTTCTTAGAGGCGATTGTATAACATCTTGCTCATTAGACCTACGCACTTGCAAAGCTGTTTTTATTAATGGAGCATGGTCTAAATCAGTGTTTATGAGCCTTGTTTTATTTATATCATTATTTTTCTGGCCACAATTCTTTAATTTTTTTGACACATTTGATGTTTTTGAATTAAGGACCTATAAAAATAATTGAAAGATGACACTACAATTTTTAATAATTAGAATGCTCTACTAAATAATTAATAAAAAGGTAGAAAAGGTAAAAGGTATACTGCGGCCTATAAGAGAATGACTGTGCACTGAAACTAAACTCTGTCCCAAATAATAAAGGCAGAAACGCATGACCAAAGTCTGTCCGTCTCGCGCATCCCCATGCCGCACTTTACCTAATTCTCCTTCCACAAGTAACACGGCGGACAGCTGTTGGCAACCATCGGATGACATTGTCGTAGAGGGGGTTTGACAGGTCAGGTAGTGCTAAAGGCCTCAGTTGAGATGTGCTATTTGCTGCCTTTCTTATATGGGATAGAGTATCAAACATATTACTATCGTTTGCGCAGGCACATACGTTTAAGTTTCTGCCACAGTCGTTCGATTATTTACGACTGTGACCCTCAACACAATTATCTATAATAACTTAAATACCAAAATCTCAATGAAAACTCTGTCACCGGCAGTAATAATTTAATGTTGTTGAGTTATGATAATGAAAAATATATATTCAACCTTAAGAATACATCTGTTGATATTTTTATTAAAAATTAAACTACAAATTAATATTATAAAACACTATATACCTTTGATCTTTTGTGTGGAGGAAAATTACAACTTCCAAGCACAACAAAATCATACTTCTTGTTGCTATCCTTCTGTTCTATTTTAACCAATTTACGTATATTACCATATTCTGCTGGTTGCCAGGTGATAGTCAATAACCGCTGAGAGTTAGGTTCCAAGGAAAAATCATAAACATCAAAATATATACCATCACTTGGAGGAGGTAAAGTAAACTAAAACAAATGTTAAAATAATATGCCAAATATTAGAAGTACATTGTATTTCATAAAATGTTCATAAAATATAATAAATATAAATATAATAACCTGTCTAGGTTTGTCGAGTGGATTCACTATTGTAAGATACCTGACTGCTGTTTCTTTAAGTTTAATGTTTTTAAATTCTACTTGAGCTTGTTTCTGAAACGGTGCCAATATTATACAATTTGCAACTAATTCATTATTCTCAATATCCTGGTTGTTTAGTTTAACAGGAGGTGAAAATTCAACCTGAAAAAATAAAAATAAATGTTTTTAAACAAGAATTAAATCACAGTCACAATGTTATTATCAAGTACTATTTTGGTTTTGATCATAAAAAATCTCAAAAATATTAGAAAAAAAGCTTTGTACCCAAACTAGTGTGAAACACAAACAAAACCAGAATTATTTCAAAAACGAAACCCTAAAAGTTAAAAACACCAGAAATATATTATAAAAAAGCAAAAACCTGAATAATAATAACGATAAACCTAAGTTATTCAAGTGTACACTTACATAGCTGTGTAATAAAAGATAAATATGATCACTCTATTCTAATTAAAAAGTGAGAAAAGTTTGGTGTTATTCGATGGTGTTTGACTCGATGTTACCATGGCTTCGTTTTTATGTCTCTGGTAGGACTCAACAAGTAAAAATAGGAGTCTCTTTTATCTTTCATTTATATATCATTTGGAATGCTGCAGAGGGGGGCATTTAACTCCACTTTGGTTTATTATTTTTATGAATGAACTTAGAGAAGTAATACAGTCTTCTCTGTGTCTACTATTCGCCAACGATGTAAAACTTTATCTTGAAATAAAGACTCATTGTGACTTTTTTTAGTTACAGAGTAATTTGGATTTAGTCATTGGTGTGCACAAAATGGTTTGTGTGTTAACCCAAAATGTCCTCAGAACATTTTTACTCATTGTAATTTTACTAACAACTTTAATTATAATATTGCTGGTGTGAATTTAACAATATCTAATCATGTTAAAGACTTTGGCATTATACTATAACCTGACTTATGGTTCACAAAATATAAAACATAGATGTACAATAAGACTCTGTGTACCTTTCAAGAAGAACTGCTTGGAATTTACTAGCCCAATTTGTCTCAAAACCTTGTATGTTTCTGAAATATGGCCAATATTAAATATGGGTTATTATTTTGGTCTCCTTATCAATTGGGGATGATTGAAAAAATGTAAAGCCTACAAACACGGTTTCTGAGAATACTTGCTTATAAAACCAGTAGAGTTAGTGAATACCTGATCATTGCTTTTTTTAATTTTTTTTTTATTGCTTTTTTAACAGTAATTAAAATAACCTTTCTGATCGGCAGAAATACCTTGATATTTTGTGATTCTATAAATTGTATTAATAGTACGATCAATTGTTCTGAATTATAGTCTTGAGTTCCTATTAATGTACCTGCTGTTTCCTTAAGATCTACTCCAACATTTTATATTCCTCTTCATCGACAAAACTATAGAGTTAAGCTTCTCTTAATCGTATAATATTAAAAAAGAGTGTAATAAATTCTGTAATTCCCAAAACATTGATTTCTCATAAGTTTAGTCAGTTTAAACATTTGTTTGAATTCTTAGGAATTTGTTGTATATTTTGTGTATTATAGCACTGTTTTATTCTAGTATGTATTTAAATAAGTTATTATTAATTTTTTATGCTGTACTAGTTTGCTCGTTTTAGATGTTATTAAAATAGTTAATAAATAAATAACAATGCCGTGTTGAATATATGTTTAAAGCCTAACCAGGTTACTTTTTAATTGTACTGAGGCTTTGCAGCCAAACTAACCCAAAACCCGATAAAACCTTTCAGTCATTAGGTGTTGTTTTTTTTTTAATTATATTAATAAGCAAATAGTCGTAGAATAAATTTGAGGAGTTTTTTAAGATCAAAAAGGGAGGGGCCTTAAAAAAACTGTAAAAATATTACCGTTACTTAACCTGACAGAGGTTAACGGTAGCAGCTGGCCAATTTTAAACTAACTTCGTGCATATACTATAGTAGTTTTTTTTTATTTTCTAGAATTTCGGTATTTTAAGGTGCAAAAGAGATAAAAATCAGCTTGGCATTCAAGTGAATTAAAATTAAATTCACAACTACGCTGCCAGTGCCGGTGGCAGTATAGTATATTTTAGTCTCTCATGACATCCGGAGCATGATGCTTATTCGCTGCACGATTATATACTTGGACTATAAAATATGGATAAGACCATTTACTTTACACCCACTACTTACGCATGGCAGATTTTCGTCAGACTCACGTGTACCACGAGCTCTGGGGTAACATGGTGCAGCCTTGACGTTTAACCGAAACATACTGTTTTATTTTAGTAATTATACTAGAGCTTCGCTATAGTAGTTTTCTAAATTAGATGAGATTTATCATTGATGGATAGGTTGACTAAATCAAAATCAAATCAAAAGGGTTCTGTTGAGAAAGGTTTTTTGGGTGTGTTGGAGTGAAAAAAATATATATACCTGATACAAGAAAAAATGTTAGCTATGCTCAAACATATAAAGGTTGGACCTATAATTAGTAGAAATCGGTTTAATGGTCTGACAAATCAAAGTTCTAACTATTAGGTTCCAGCCCTCTATTCCTTATATACTTATCAATCAAATATGTGTTGGTTACATTTAGATACTTTGTATAGTTATTCTTTGAAAAAAGTTGTTAATAAAATGAAAAAAGCCTGTCAATATGACCCATTTATTTTAGCAACAGCAATCAAGTTTTTTTGACCGGCAATATATTAAAACTGACGAAATATAGCTATAGTCCCGGTGTAGGTTTATATAGTCTACACTAAAAACAAAAATCACTAAAATTAGCCTTCTAATTACTTCAAATTTATTAGCAGTACTTTAAATGAAATAACTTGTAAAAGTACAAAACAATACAAATATAAACAGTAAATACTGAATTCTATGTTCCCCATTAAATAGAAAATATTATATAATATAATATAACTATACATTTTTTTTTTTACATCATTCTAACCTAATAATTTACAACAAAAAAAAAGTGATAGTACCTACTAACAAAATAAATTTATATACACGATTCGTTGGTGTATTTATTTTTAATTGATTTGATTTCTTAAGTGGAAATGTCTACAAGTTACTAAGATAATGTAATTGTAGTAATAAGTAAACATTAAAATCTCAGACTCAACTATTATTGATAAAATAATTTCTGTAGGTAGAATTCAGTCTAACGCACATATTATAAAACAACAATTAAATATCACAATTCATTAGTAAGTACAGACACTATAAAAACTTACCACAAATTTAGCCATGTCAAGTAAGTCTTATGTCGACGTTTTTTACATAAATAAACATTAAATCAATACAAAAAATTATTAAATAAACAAAAGACACACATAAAAATAGCTTTAGGCACAAATCATAATATATAATTTAACACAATAAGACCATAAAAATCTTTATACTCGATTGTTACTTGATACTTTAAAACGACACAATACACATAACACAGTGTATTTTACACTACAGACTACTAGACTAGGCGTATAAGCTATAGCATTTGCAACGATCTCAGATCTACGGAGTACGGACGTTGGACAACGCTACGCCGACCGCCGTTGGTAGTTGGTTATTGGTTAATGTACTACGGTGTACGGCGGCGGGCGGTCGGCGATTAGTCTCCAGAAAGCATAAATAACGTTAAGATTTGAAATTAAAAACAGTGTGACCACATTTAAAAATTAAATTATCATATTTATTATTTTGTTACTGATTAGAAAAATGTTACATTCGCTAGATAAGTGATTGTAATGCAATTATGAGTTATCAATTGATAGAAATTATCAATTACAAATTTGTTTAAATTTTTAAAACCAAAGTATTGAAATTTCACAAATATTATATATTATGTCCCAAATCCTATTCTGGTTCTGTGATGAAATTAATAAATCATAATGAAGTACTCTTTAAATGTGTTTTATGCCCTATGCGTTACTCGTATTTGTTAAAGACTCTTGTCACTTGTGGTCTTTACGAAGCTTACCATGAGTAAAAATTCAGCAAATTTTATTATTTATATTGTTAACTAATGGCCAAACCCATTTGTTTGGTCAAAGGCAAAACATAATATTAACCTCTTATCGTAGTAGTAATCAGACTTTAATTGCAATGAAAACATACTCGATGGACGCCGCAAAATTCGTAAACAATACTTATATAAAATAGTAACAAACTATACACATTTTAACAGATTTACTTTCTCAAAAATACCAATGTTAAAATGAAAAATATTACCTAGAATTCTTAAAAAATATCAGTATATTATAAACTTATTTAAGTTTCAATTTTTTAGTATTAAAACATTTTTTGAATAAAATGTTATAATACTTATTGAAACTTGAGTGGGGTATTATATTTACACTATTTACATGACTTGAGGTCACTCCCACATGGATGTCTTGACTAGTTTGCCAACGTTTCGGAACACTTGTTGCTTGTACCACACTCTCCTGCAGACGAGGAACATCAAACCACAGCCCTGAAGATGGAACATGCAAGTGTTCCGAAACGTTGGCGAACTAATCAAGACATCCAAGTGGGAGTAACCTCAAGTCATGTAAATAGTGTTATAATAATTTTATTAATTTTAATGGCATGTTTTTACGTCATTGGTCCATTATTAAAAAATATCAGTGTTCATAATGTTTCCATAACAAAACCAAGAATGTGTAGGTGTTTACCTACACTAGTAATCAAACCCAGATTTGAAAATGTATGTATGAAAAGTATATTATCCAACTACCCCTAATAAAAATCAGTTTATATTTTTTAACATTTGTTTTAAAATATAAATTTTAGATTTATATTAAATGTTTGTGTAATTATTCATACATAACCACTTTAAAGTAGTACTTAATTGTAGTGATGGCATTATCTATATATTATTAATTTATGTTCAATAAATTCAAACAATATGTATTACATACATAAATATCTAATGTGTCAACTACAATGTTTAATTTTTTTCCGGACAGTTGATACCTACTTAGTATACTTCAAAAGTTACCCAGACGCCCTCTGAACTGTTAGTCAAGTTTATACTTGCTCTTAGATTTGTTAAAATAAGGCACAAAAAACTAGTTTCTATAAATGCATAAAAAAATATATACATATATTTGACACTTCTAAGTGATCTTTCTTGCAAACAGTATATTGATGTTTCTAATTGATAAATAATAAAAAAATAACCTAGTTTATGAAAATAATACATTTACTAAAACACTTAACATTAATTGCAACATTTTCATTAATCATATTATAAAATATAGTCTATATAGTGATTACATTAAGTCATAATATATTTAATGTTAATTTGTAAATATCAGCTGTGTAGTGAAGAAATTAAAAATACAAAAAAACATTGAATTCATACAGATTTTAATTAGTTGTAATAGTTAATATTAGATATAATGGCAGTTAGTATAATATTTTGAAGTAACACGCAAGAATAAAAGATGCATAAAAAATATTTAGTTATCGTTAATAATAATAATATTAATACCAATGTGAAGTTGCTATTGATTATCAATATGACACAATAACAATAAATGAAATAGAAAAAGATAAACTTGCCAATGATCACACTTCTTATTCGCAATGACTTAATATGAATTTTAGCCATGATGTATTGTTTATTACTAAATGCATCTGCATTATTTCAAAAATATGCTATATAGATATAAAATGACAAGTTCAAGAATATTTTATGTACAAAAAAAATTATATATAAAAAAAGTAAAGTACAATTGAGAGGTCGGGTACAATTTTAATATTATTATTTTGGACATGAAACTAGAAAAACATTATCAACGTGTTATTAAACGATGGTTTCAATGTTCATTTCAAATAGTTTAGGATCATGTTACAAAAAGGATGTTAGATGAATATTAGTTACATACATAGTTTTATAATTTGTTGTTTTTTTTAACATTATTTTACAAGTGAAGTTTTTAAAAGGTGTTTCTTATTATGTGGTGTACCCGTCGAGACAAAAATTATGAAAAGTAATAAAATAAAAACAATTAAAATATTAAAAGATGAACAACTAAACCGCTATATAGGTCATTTTGGTTTAGTCAAATTTTAGTTTCGAACTGCTAAGTAATGGTTTGCGAGCAACCTTGTAAAAAGTCCTGTGAAAAAAGTGAATTGTTGTGGTGAAATTAAAAATAGACAAATAAGTTTAATATTGCACTTACTCGTGGGAGTACTTCTGTTTTATAGCAGACAGCCCTGAATGATCTATGTGCAACATATTGTTTAAAGCAATTACTGTACCTTTGATGTCTTGCATATTGTATCCTTTGATAAAATAAAGCAATAGGGGGTTAACAAAATTATATATATACTAAAGGAATATTCTAAATTTTATCAGAACAATATTGAGGAATAGAAAACAAATTGATTACCACAAACAATAAAATTATACCAACCTGTGTATTTAAGAAACTCATTATGTTTAACAGGATTTGAACACATTTTAAAGGCCAAGTACAATGCAGATGCACCTTTAAGAGATTCTTTGATCATCACAAAACTGTAATCCATTAAACTGCGTTCTAAAATGTACCTTGCTAAAGTCAACATCACCATTGGTACTTGCATACACTTAATGAAAGTAAACAAAAATAATATAATAAATATCACACCCATAAATAGTTAACAAGTGACAATTATTTTCTTACTCTAGCAAAACGCCTTAAAAAACAATATGACATAGGGACATGGATATCAAAATTTAAAGCTTTTAATAGAGCTCTTTCAGTGACAAACAATTCTTCTTCCGTAAAAATATACTTGCTTTGTTTAACTAGATCATATGGAAAGCCTGGTTCTCTTTCCTAAAAATAGAGAATTGGTTTACTCTCAGTAATCTAATGAACAGAACTCATGCTTCGCTTACATCAATTTTGCTAGCTAATAATATTGCAGCAGAAGCAAGGAGTTGAAATTTATGTTTTGCCGTATCATTCTTCATTAAATACAAGTCAATAAGCTTTACAGACATATACAACACTTCATGATTCAATCCAAAGCATTCTTGCAAATTGACCAACCAGTTAACAACAATGGCTCGATGTCTTGTAGTTAATTCACTCTGGTCACTAATATAATCAGTTACAAGAAACTGTTCCTAAAAATAAACACACACATTTAAAAAAATGTATTTCAATTCCTATCAACCCAGTGTCGTAGAAAAGTGGTAACATAGTACTAGATGTAAAAGGATCTATTCAGGCATACTACTAAAAAAAAAAAGCTCTGTGTACCTAAAAAGTGGGTGCTACAAATTTAAAAAGGTTTAATTCATTAAGTTATTTTTGTATTTAAAAAAAATATATATATATATCTTATCAATACATACTTCTCGTGCTCTTAAATATCTGAAAATATCTTTGGCATAACATCCTACATACACAAAGTTGTTCCAACTGGACTGATCAATTTCAAATATTTCTTCATTTTCTTTAGAATTAACACTTCTAGAATAACATTTTTAAGTAAAATAAAAATAAGTAATAATTAAAAACTATTAACTTACAGTTCCTGTACAGTTGAATCATAGAACTCTGAGCTATTAGTATCGACGACTGTGCATCTATTACTGCTGTCAACAGCAGAAAAATATGAATCTTCAGACTTGATTGATAGCTTAGAATCGGGTACTTCTTCGATAGCGGTTTGATATAAAGTACTATTTTTTGAATTATCCAAAGACTGACGAACCCTATGTAGAATAATTACGATAGTATTCAGAACTTAATAATAAATAATGAGTAAATTAATAGTTAAAATATACTCAACTCTTTAGAATTTGAACAGGCTTCAGGTTTCTTTTTAATTGTATTTTTAGAAACATCAATTTTACTAATAATCTGATTTGTTTTTTCAGTTTTAACAATTACTGCATTACCATTTTTAAATAATCTCTCGTCTATTTTCTTAACCTCTGACCTGGTGTTGTGTTTTTTGGCACCCTGTAATATTATATTATTCAAAATTCCTATTAAATATTAAAATCTTTAATATTTTTTAAGTTATTTAATACTTTACAATCATTACATTATTTGCAACTAGATCTAACAACGCTGCTCGCTTTTCTGCAGGTCGATTATCCTTAGAGTAAGGCTCAGCCTGGTAGTTTCTTCTCAACTGATTTCGAGTAATTGGAGGCATTCTGTAATAAACCAAAACAGGAAATTGCATAAAATATAATACATTATTATGGTTCTAATATTTATTTTATAATTTTATAAGTCGTAGTGTATACAGAATTTTAATATTATATAATGGTTTGACTGAAGTCTCAATAATCAACATGTTGTCTAGTGGAAGTTCCATTACCCTATAAGTACCACATTTTTTTCTTTTACTCAAGTAGTAAACAAAAAAAAAACAAATAAAATAAAATAATAAATTTGAAAATATAAAAAAAAAAAAAAATTTTTTTTTTTACTTTTATCATCATGCAAGCTTAATAGGCCATAAAAGCCCAACGCCGACATCATAAGATGGTTACTAAGCAGAATCGCTAACCGGAACGATTCATCAGTCCGTTGCCGGAGAGGGGGATGGTGACTCCTTTTCACTAGATGATTTCTCGGCTGGCCAATGGAGCACCCGTGAGTGTTGAACCAGTGAAAGTGAGCGCCAAACGCACTGAAGCCTTACCCACTCATCCTCTCATTCAAAAGCCAGATATAGGTAAGGTAACTTTTGAAACTTAAATAATGGTATTGTACACGTTAAATTCGTTTTTTAAATAAGAATAATTTTCTGAAAATTTTAAATGGTTCATAACCAGTTTTGAGTCATAACATTTAATATTATTAGTTTAAAATTTAGGACGGGAGGAATGGTGGAGTGTAGTATTTTTTTTTGCGCACATTACTCAGCAGCATATAATATGATATGGTTAGGTATATCAATAACATATTTAACTTACAATTAATTCTGTAGTGTTTGGGTACAAGTCCAAATAACAATTTGAACTCGCCCAGCAAGTGGAGCGCGTGTGACAAAGTGTCAAACCAGCAACAGTAAGCGCTAACATACATGCCTTCTTACTTATTCCACCACTCTTCCTCCATTTTTTTTTTTTTTACTTTTGTAAAAATATTATATAAGTACTAAATAAAATTAGCCATTACTAAAACAATTTTTTTATTTAAGTAACTATTATTGAACGGAACAAAAAAAAAATGTATTTTGTTTCCATTGCCGAACAAAAAGTAGAAACATATTAAATTCAGGAGAAATAAATAATTGTTTATCGAGGTACGTTTAATAATGTTCCGCTACTGGAGGAACAGAGCAAATTTATAAATTGATTTATATTTTAGATAAAATGTTTAATTTACTGTTCTCAAGTATGAACTTTATTTCTAGCCTGTATCAATATTCATTATTTATTTTATTTTGTATTTTCATTATTCAAGATTTGCTTGACTTTTTTTATAAAAACAAAAGTAGTTTTTTTAAGAAAAAGAAAAACTTTATTGCATTAACCTCTTTCTATGTTCCAAAGTATTTTAAAAGTAGTAATTAAAATCATTATTGTGCTATACATATTATAAAATAATAAAACAATTTTTAAGATTTTAAAGTAAATACTATTAAACAGTTACCTAGTTGCAGTAATAATAAAATATAAGATACAATTCAACTTGACATCCAAATAAGCAACAATACCTATTTAAAATTTACATAATTTACTACATAAAAAAAGATTTATAGTATAATTATTAGAAATAATATAATTATTTTATAGTATAATTGTTCCCCCGTGTGGGCCTCGGGTTAGAATAAGGCCACGGGCTGTTCCCCTTATCGTAAAAGGCGATTAATAGGAACATCGAAAGTCTCCCGGGATAAGGAGACACATCTACAAAGCCAACGGCTTTCGGGGCGGATGAGCTGAGTAGAGTGGGGAAATCTCTTGTCCCCATGGTAGGAAACTGCCTTGAAAAGGCGGATGAACCACATCGGTTGGTCAACGGCTTGAGGATGCAGAAGGCCAGAGGGATCCCACTGCATTAATGATCCAATTGGATTTCCCTAACCAAAGTTTCCAAACATGGACTGTCACGACCAAAGAAACACCTATTCGACTGATCATGGAATTCGAAAACCAAGATCCGGCAGGGGAAGAATCAAGGCCTCTTCGGTCGTCATTCAGCGAAATCCTTGCTCATCGTTCCGTATTGGAACATGGAACATTAGAACAGCACTCAAACCAGGAAAGATAGAAGAGATCAAAGATCAAATGAAACATACTTATATTGATATATTTGGTATCTGTGAAACGCGCTGGGGCGGAAATGGAGATTATATTACAGAAGACTTCAGAGTAATCCACAGTGGAAATGACAAGAGTGGTAGAAACGGAGTGGCTATAATAGTTCAAGGGAAATGGAAAAACAACATAATAAATACATACCACCTTAACGACAGAATACTGGTGGTTAAAATCCACGCTCAGCCTACGAACATCTACATAATTCAGGTATACTTTCCAACAACAAACAGCCAAGACGTTGAAATCGAAGAAATGTACGAACAAATTGAAGTACTTATGAAGTTAACTGATGATAAAGCGAACGTGATAATTATGGGAGATTTTAACGCCTCAGTCGGAAAGCAGGATAGCTCATCAAACTGTCTAGGAAAATTCGGTCTTGGAAAACAAAACGAAAGAGGTGCCAGACTCGTACAGTTTTGTGAACAACTTGAATTGACAATCTCTAACACTTTCTTCCAAGTGCCTAAACGACGAAGATACACTTGGAAAGCCCCTATAGATATTAGAAGATCTCAAATCGATTTTATACTAGTTAAACAAAAATATAGGAACCAAGTTAGGTCTAGTCACTCTTATCCAGGCTGTGATATAGACAGAAATCATAACTTAGTACTAGCAAAGTGCAATATCATTTTCAAGAAGAGTGCCAAGAGACCCATCAAAAAGTGGTGTCTAGATAAACTGAAGAGTAGCACTACAGTTGATATTTTCAAAAAAGTACTCGAAAATAAAGAGGCAAAATCTTGGGAAGAGCTAAAATCAGTAATTAAAGAAACCTCAGACAGGGTGCTTGGGAAAAATACCCTTCAACCAAGAAAACCCTGGATGTCACAAGACATACTAGAGCTCATCAAGGAAAGAAACTTCTGGCGAAACAAAGACTATGATAAATACAAGCATTTGAGAAATAAAATAATACAAAAGTGCAGACAAGCGAAGGAAAAATGGATGGAAGAGTACAGTGAAGATATAGAAATGATGATGAAAAGAAACAACAACGGAGTATATGCTAAGGTTAAAAAATTGCAATACACTCCAAAAACTAGAAGCAATATTGTCAAAAATAAAGCAGGCAAAATTTTGTTCGATAACGATGAGGTTGCTAACAGATGGAAAGAATACCTCGAAGATCTATACATAGGAGAAGACATTAACAACAAGCAAGAAGAATACATCAAGAATGAACAAAATTTGAATCCAGCTATGAAAGGACCAGAAATTACTAAGGATGAATTTAACCGAGCAATTAGAGATTTGAGTGATAAAAAATCAACTGGATTGGATGATATACCTTCAGAAATACTGAAAAACCTAGACGAAAAAAACAAAGAAAGTCCTATTTGAAATTATCAAGAAATGCTATGAGGAAGGCTCAATTCCGGAAGACTTCATAAAAAGCAAAACGATCACTCTACCCAAGAAAGGAAATGCTACCGATTGCTCAAACTACGGTACCATCGCTATCCTAGCTCACTCGTCAAAGGTAATTCTGAACATTATAAAGAACAGATTGAAACACAAAGTGGAAGAAAAACTTGACAATGACCAGTTTGGTTTTAGGATGGGTAAAGGAACGCGAGAAGCTATTTTAGCTTTGAGACAGCTGCTGGAAAGGAGAGTTGACGTGAATAGAGCAACGTTTATAGCATTTGTAGACCTGGAAAAAGCGTTTGACAAGGTAGATTGGAAACTCCTATTTAGCACTCTAAGAGAAAGCGGAGTAGATTGGAAAGACAGGCACTTAATATTGAACTTGTATAAGGGTCAAACCCCTGAAATAAAGTAAACGGAAGTAGGAGAGAAGCGAAAATTCGTCAAGGAGTAAGGCAAGGTTGCCCTTTGTCTCCATATTTGTTTAATTTATTTATTAAACATGCAATAGATGAAATGAAAGACCACTCTACAGGAATATCAATAAAAGGGAAACGGTTTGCAGATGACATAGCTCTTCTAGCTGACAGCGAGGAAGAGTTAAATTTAATGCTTCATACACTTGACTCGTCTATAGACAAGTTCAAACTAAAAATTAACTCTAAAAAAACAAAAGTTATGGTTATAAGTAAAGTTATAACAAATATAAATATAACGCTCAACAATGAGCAGTTACAACAAGTAAATGAATTCTGTTATTTAGGAAGCTTGATAAGAAGAAGACGAATTACATTAGCAAAACAAGTTTTCGAGAAAAAACGGACACTTCTTGCTAATAAACATCTGAGTATAAGTTCAAGAAAGAAATTCGTAAAAACATACATTTGGAGTATATTACTATATGGTTGTGAATCGTGGACGATAGGAAAGTATGAAAAAGATAGGCTGGAGGCGATGGAGATGTGGATGTGGAGGAAAATGACAGGAACAAGCTGGATAGAACATAAGACGAATGAAGCAGTGCTGAACGAGGTCAATGAAGAAAGAACAGTGATGAACACAATAATGAAAAGAAAAATAAAGCTAATTGGTCATCTACTAAGACACAATGAGTTCATCACCATCATTATGGAAGGAAAAATAGCGGGTAAAAGAACTAGAGGAAGACCGCGTAAGTCCTTTTTTGAAGAAATCTTCCGTTGGATGGGTTGTACCTCTTACCAAGATCTCAAGAGGAGGGCATGTGACAGACATGATTGGCTACAACAACAAGGCTTGGCCTTTAGAAGCTGATGATGATGAGTATAATTATTATTATACTACAAATCAGCTTTCAAAAATATCTACTAATATATTTGTGACATACTTATTGTTCTCTTACAAACATATTAAATTTTGCTAAAATATCTGGTACTTGTGTATTATACGAACTCTCTCCTTCCTATTTTTTTCAATATCAGGCAATTAAATAAAGCTATGCATTTTCTAAGTATAGGGAAGTATATTTAATAAGAAAATAACAAAAAATGTACAAATTTTGTGATATCTGTAATGTTCAAAAGTCTACGAGTTTGGCAAGTAATACTTACGATTTCTACTGAGCGATAATTTTTTACTTTTTATTTTATTTTTTAACTTATTCTTTAATTAAAACTTGACTTAACTTAACGTCCTATAGAGGGCTATAGAGGCGGGTGGGGGGCAAGTAATCGCTTCATAAGAAACTGTATTAATGTGTAGTGTGATTTATTTTATCTAATTATCTTCTAATATTGAATAAAATATATGGGTCCATATAGTACACAAGTACCAAATATCTCAGTAAGACTCTTATCCTTATTATAATAATTAGTTTGGAAACTTGGTACATTGATATAGTTAAATCACAAAAAACAAACTTAATGACAAATGATAAATATTAGGGGTGTGAGATTATTTAAATGTTGGGTATAAATGCACATTACCGGGCACCCTTATTTTTGAAATTTTTTTTTGCCGACTAGGTATTGGTGTACATGCGGAAATATGCAAATTTCTAGTAGCTATCACATTGAAACTAAAGGAATCCGCCTAAAGGAATAATATTTAACTTTAGATTCGTGATTTGGGTAAAAAATACTACACGATGTTTAAAAAAAATATCAAAGAAAAGGGTGCCCAATAAAGAGCATTTGTTCTTAAAAACAAGGGTGGATGGGTTAAAAAAATTGTGATCTATACATACTTAAACAGGGCTCTTCTTAGTGTGTATGGGAAAAACACAAAATATGAACATTTACTCTAAAATCGCCATTTAGACACTTCAAATAAAAACGAAATAAACAAAGTGTTAACATTCATGCCGATGTTACGATTTTTTTAAAAGAACCATTTACAATTAATTATAAATTATTCCGAACTCCTAAGTTTTAAAATCGCAAAAGTAGTAAGTACTAAGCAGAACATCTTACAAAAATGAATTAATTGAACAACAGTCAACAACCGTTACGCGTTATCAGCTTAACCACGGTAGTGCGTTGGACTTGGAAAGCCACTGACCGTAAACAACCACGGTTAAAGGCAATAATTAATTGCACGGAGGTTGCGTTTATCGGGCTGCTACAGTTACCACGAATGTTGCATGCCACGACTTGTAGTTACTCCGACATTGCTTTATCGGGGCTCACAACATCATGGGATCTTTCCAGATCGAAAAAAGACAATTAACATAATTAACAACATTAAAATGTAGCTTTATCCCATTTAGCGATTAGATAGTGTAATTATTTTTAAATATTCTGTCGAGGTTAGAGCAAACAAATTTTAAGCATAATATATATTTGAGATTTTAAAAATCATAAATAAATAATTTCAATTTTAATTTCATAAATAATTATTACATTTTTACAGAGACGTATTCAGGGGAGGGCCAGGAGGGGCTTGGGCCCCGGGCGGTAAATTTTGGAGAGCATTTTGATAAAATACGGTAGGTCATTTGGGTGATAAAAAAAGTAATGATACTAATAAATGTATTATTGTGGTTTTCATTTGTCACGAAACATGCACTGAAAATACCAGGACATGGAAAAGTATATTGTAGTTTGAGAATATACAGAATATGGCCGCCCAAACATATTTCGTAGACACGTTTAAACGGTCGTGCCAACTGCCAGTAATAATAATCTTAGTTCGTAACGTTTATGTACTCGTAATCACAAAGAAACAAAAAAAGATTTTTAACCATATGTAGAAATTGCGTTACGAATTTTTGTTTCTTGTCCTACATCTAACTGTTCTACTGAGAGGTCTTTTTCAGTCTTTAAAAGGGTCAATTCCTATTTGAGATCAAGTACTACAGACGAAAGGCTAAATTCTTTGGCTGTTTTAACTATAGAGTCAGATTTAACAAAGAAGTTAGATTATGATGATATCATTGATACGCTCGGCGTAAAATATACTGCTTTTGCTCGCCTTTTAATGGCGTTTTTTATTGCATAAGCTCGGCGTGAACATTTTTAATTTTAATATTTTTAATATTCTTATACATATGGGGAATTTGATATATTAAGAGATTTTTTTTTTAAATGTTGTCACTTAACCTATTACATCTAGATTTATTGTATAATTAATAATAAATATACCTAATATAATTATGTAATATGTACTTCAATAAATGTATTTTTGCATGCTTTTCTTTAGCAGTTAGCTCGCTAACACGTACGTACGTACGTTTGTACGGTTTTTTTTCAATCTAGCAAAATTAATTTAACCCACTTCCCGATGTCGTATAGGGCTGAAACTTGGCACAGACACTCGTCTTAGATGACAATACAATATTCTTTAATCATATTGGGACTCGGACATCCAGGTCACCCTACACAGGGTCAAATGTGGGGGTCATTTCACTAAAACTTAATTTTTTTTCCAAATTTTCCAAAATTAATTTATTAATTTATTCAGCAATTATTAAATACCTTTAATAGGACTAAAAAGTAAAAAAACAAAATAAATAATTTAAAAAAAAAATTTTAAAAACATGCTTTTCTTAAAAAAAAAAAAAAATAGTAGAAAGTGAACTAAAAAGTAAAAAATAATTTTATTACAAGAACAATTTACTAATTAATTGTAGCATTTTATTTAAAATGTCAAATACTTTGAAAACAACTGAAAATTAATTTTTGACTAAAAAGAAAAGCGTGGGCCCTATTCAACAAAGTCCCTAATAAATTTATCAGATAATGTTTTATATTGTAAGTTTTTTTTGTAATTTAAATTTGGTTTAATATTAGTGTGTGACACATACATTTCTTAATACTTAACTCAATAAATTTGGACTTTGTTGAATAAGGCCCACGCTTTTCTTTTTAGTCAAAAATTTATTTTCGATTGTTTTCAAAGTAATTGACATTTTAAATAAAATATGCTACAATTGATTGGTAAATTGTTCTTGTAATAAAATTATTTTTACTTTTTAGTTCACTTTTTACTATTTTTTTTTTTAAAAAGCATGTTTTTAAAAACGTTATTTTTATGTATACCTAATATACCTCTCAGATTATGAGTGTAGCAAAGAATGCATTGGTTTCACTATCGTGTTTTTTTTTACAAATACACCTATTGAAGAAGAAATATAGGTTGGGAAGGGAGTGTTTATTTTTCTTACCTAGGGCGCAAAACTCCTAAATACGTCTCTGCATTTTTAGTACTTAGGAAATATCATTAACGGCCGTCTATAGTAGTTTGGGTAACAGTTAAGTACAGTTTAGCCTATAATTTTAATACTGGTAAGGATTATAAATATATGGTATATTTTTTTTTTTTGTCAAAACAGATAATTTTAATAATATTATTAATTTATGAAAAAAAAAATGATTTTATTAGTCGTTTGCGTGTTACAATGTACGTGGCAGTGGCAACCCCGTTGTATATGATTATGTATTTACTATTTATAATAATAATTCTATCAAAATTAAAATGAGAAATCTTATAGAATCAATAATATAGATTATAAAGAATTTTTATAGATTATTATATCTACATATAATCTAATTTCTAAAACAAAAATTGTTATAAAAATTGTAACAAAAATGAATCATGGACGTACAATTAAAATATTATTAAACTGTTAAAATTTTTAAGTTTAGTATTATAATATTCATTATTGAAAAATAATAAGTATTAGTAAAATGTTATCATTTCTACAATCATTTATTTTGTAAATAACAAATTATTATAAAGAATATGCGTGTCCATGGAGATGCATTTTAATTTTATATTATTTTGTTTTTTGTAAAACTTACAAAATGTTACTTGGTATTGTTTTTTTAACGCTCATACCAATTTTAATGGTGAGTCCTCCCCTAACAACTTAACGTGAGCCTCACTCCTCCATAAATCCGGCCTTGTGTTAAAATGTTAACAATACAAAATGCATAAATCACATTAGACCTACTAAAATTTGGTTAGGTCAGTCCTTGAATATGCTTTTATTTTGAATTATAACATAGTCTACTTATCAATTTTGTAAAATTGATCCAGAAATGATTCCTATATTTTTTACTTTTTAAAGTTTTAAGAAAATAAAGCCAATTGTTGAATCGTCTGTAAAATACTACGGTATGTTGACAGAATTTAAATGATATATTTTTAAATACATAATATAAATAAATAACTATATCATAAATTATATAAATATAAGACTGTTCTGAAAAATGATGATTGGATTCATTTAATGTACTAAATATTAATATACGATTTTATACGAGAGTTTACGTTTCTACACAACGACAAATTTATCTCGCTCCAGTAAACCAAATTATAATTCGTGTAATTCAATTCAAAATGTTGGCTTTTTGAGTGCTCTCAATAAGCAATTTTAACTTAGCTTATTTATTATTTACATTTTTTATTTATAGTCATCTATTAACTCTACAAGATTTTATACTTATTTTATTTTTCTCTACAATTGTAGTTGTATTTGGTAAATAATTTGTCAAGTTTAATGCATATTGTTGTACATAATTAAATAAATTATTGTAAAACTTGTTGTAAACAAATTGTAAATTGCCTCATTAGCGTAAATTTATTACTATTATAAATATATTATTGTTATTATTATTAAAAAACATTAATTTTCAATATAGTGTTAAGGACAATTTTATCATTCGGCGGTTAAAATGTCGTTTATCTAATCTTGGTTTAAGATTAATCGGAGATTAAAATAATTCTGAATTTATCAATCAAATTTAATCCTAGCTTAAGTAAACTGGGTTTTACAAACAGAAGCTTTATTTATTAATAATTATTAATTAAAGTAAGTTACAACGTTAAAATAAAAATGTTGTTAACTTTATATTGGTAAATATCAACTGCTAGCGGTGCTTAATTAGACATACTTCCCAATGTTGGATTTTAATTTTTAATATATGTATGCATTTTTCGACAAATTTTCTAGGTTTTTTAGGAAGGCGATTTGCAATTTTCTCTTTTGAAGATCTCCAAAATTATTTTTTTGAAAATTCAATGATAATTTATTCCCGAATTTCATTTGAATTTATTTTAGGCATAAAATTTTAAATCAAAAATGGACTTCCTAAGAAACCCAGACAATTTGCCAACAAATCCACACATACTTTAAAAATTAAAATCCAACATCGAGAAGTATGTCTAATTAAGCACCGCTAAAACGCATGAAAACTAGTTGTGCTCCGACCCCCTTAAGGGGTAGATTTACTAAATTCTCACAATGTATAGGGAAACACTTTATAAATGGGGTGGCGTTATAATTTCTTTGATATTTATACTTTATATTTTTTTATAAAAAACACGCTGCGGTCCCCTTAATGTTATTTTAAATTTGAGTTACTTCTTGCTGAACAATTTTAAACTTGTTTTTACTCAGATGAATACATGCGAAAAAATCTTGGTCATCCCATATGGTTATGTGGTCAATTTTTGTCGACAATAAACAAGGTCTTCGAATTTCATTGAAATATTGGTTAATAATATAACCTAAAAAATAAACTTCTGCGTCACTATTATTGTCGCTACTACTGCTACTAATCTAATTATTTCAGTCATCTAGAATAAAATATGCATACAATTTATATCAAATGTGTAGGTAATACAATATTTATAATTTAAGCATCCGTTTTGAATTGAAATGGTATTTATATTGAAATAACTACCTACAATGTAACTGTTAATTCTATGTTTTGTTACATGCAATCATAAAGACCTAATCACTATAATTCGATAAAAAGTTTTAAGTGTGTAAAAGCAAATAACTAATAATAATATAGGAATATTATATTATAAAACGATAGGTAACAATAGATATTTTTTTGGGGGAGGGGGGGGGCTGAGGCATTGAGTAAAAGCGCTGTGTAAAGAGTTATTTCTAAATTCTGATCCAGAAATAAATCTTAAAAATTTGGCCAAACTTACCCATTCTCAACCCATTAAAAACAAGACTTCGAAATTAA